CCCGGTGTAAGGTACACAGTGGGGGGGGGGGGTCGTCCCGGGAGGTCGTGAACGACTCTTGCCTAGAGATGCCCACTACTGAGGCTGGCCAGACCAGCAGCATCACTACACTCACCTGTCCTCACTATTCGTCACGTGCAAAAGGTCAACCAAAAAAGAAAGTTTTTTTGCGCGCTAACTTTTCCTCTGGTGCCACTCAATCCTATTATTGGTTTACCAGCCATCAATGAAAGTTTGTCCGTGGAACGCAAAAATCATTTCTAAGCAAGTAGCAGCTACGTCCTAGTTGTTCTTCCCCGGGGCTTCAGCCGGTAATAATATAACATAATACTAATATCTCAGTTGCTATATGAGTGTAGTTAGTGATGTTTTGAGATGGTGGCAGCAGCCCCGTCCCTCTCTTAGAGCCCTAACCCTTGCTTTTATTTTTAAGACCTTAACCTTGGCTAGGGTTGCAAACCTTTTGCATTCCTCCCCCCACCCCCAGCCTGTACTCAACTAGTTGTGCTTGCGAGGGTAGCGCTTTGGCTCTTTGGTCCCGCCTCTCAATTGTCATTCAATTGGTGTACAGATTCCTGAGCCTACTGGGCTCATATCATATCTACATTTGAAACTGTGTATGGAGTCAGCCTCCACCACATCACTGCCTAATGCATTCCATCTATTAACTACTCTGACACTGAACAAATTCTTTCTGACGTCCCTGTGGCTCATTTGGGTACTCAGTTCCCACCTGTGTCCCCTTGTTCGTGTTCCACCCGTGCTAAATAGTTTGTCTTTGTCTATCTACCCTGTCAATGGCCCTGGTAATTGTGTAGGTAGTGATCATGTTTCACCTTACTCTTCTGTATTCCAGGGACGTAAGGTTTAGCTCTCGTAGTCTTTCCTCGTAGCTCATGACTCTCAGTTCTGGGCCAAGTCTAGTAGCATACCTCTGTATCATCTCTAACTTTGTCTTGTGTTTGACTAAATATAGACTCTAAGCTAGAGCTGCATACTCCAGGATTGGTCTGACGTAAGTGGTATACAGGGTCCTGAACGATTTCTTGCACAAGTTTCTCTTGTTGGCCAATCTAGCATATGCCGCTGCTGATATCTTTTTGATGTGGACTTCTGGGGAGAGGGTAGGGTAGGGTAGCATCACTCCCCACACTCCCAGCCTGTGCTAGGGTAGCATCCCTACCCAAGCCTTTACAAAGGAAAGGGAGCGACGATGCTGGGGCATCACCCTCTAGCCCCTTCACCCCCCCCCCCTCCCCAGCACACACACTATTTCCGTTCTCCTTCTTTAACTCGTACCTTCTTTTCCCTAGCTTCCCCCTCCCCCCCCCCCAATCCTACCTCAAGATGTAATTTTTTTGTCTTGCTTTCAACTCCTTCCTTCCTTTATTCGACACGATCTTTTCTTCCGTTTCCAATCCTCCCACCCTTGGTCTATCTCTTCCCTCACTTCTTCCTCCTCTGTTTCCCTTCGCCCCCCCCTTCCCTCTTGCTCCTGGTGAGCACTTAGTGAGAGGCAGGAGGACTGCCCCTCACACCACAGCCCGCCCCCCCCCCTCTCTCTCTCTCTCTCTCTCTCTCTCTCTCTCTCTCTCTCTCTCTCTCTCTCTCTCTCTCTCTATCTTACTCTATTTCGTTCCCTTTCTTTTTTAAGTTTAGATTTGGGAAATACAGTGAGTTATGAACGCAGGCAAAAGCGTTCATAACTCACTGTTCATAACATTGTTCATAACTAACTGTTCATAACTAACAGCGTTCATAACAGCATTGTCATTCTCGTCCGATCAGCGAAGTTAAGCAACGTTGGGTTTGGTTAGTACTTGGATGGGTGACCGCCTGGGAACACCAAATGCTGTTGGCAATAATGTCTTACAAGTGACAGGATGAACAACCCAGCGGGTTTTCTTCTTATTGGGGAGTGTTGTACATGCTGCTATGGCGGTGTGTCCACTCACAAGATGAGTGGCGCTGCCCAATAAACTCGCCCCTCGGGGCAAAATTAAAAAAAAAAAGCATTGTCAGGGAGCTGTGAGTGTGTGAGAGGTTCTTCACATGTGTTTCAGCAACCAGCTGTGGGAGTGGGGCGTCTCATCTTGGGCCACCAGCTGTGGAAGTGGGGCGTCTCTTCTTGGGCCACCAGCTGTGTGAGTGGGGCGTCTCATCTTGGGCCACCAGCTGTGGGAGTGGGGCGTCTCATCTTGGGCCACCAGCTGTGGGAGTGGGGCGTCTCATCTTGGGCCACCAGCTGTGGGAGTGGGGCGTCTCATCTTGGGCCACTAGCTGCAGGTGTGTGGCGTCTCATCTTGGAGTAATCTTTCAAACATTGGGTCCTCTAACATTTCGATGGTGTTCCGCACCCTGATGGCTTGGTGCTGTAGTCTGATGTTTAGTGGCTGTATGTTCAGGAGCTCATGGAGCTCCTGGATTGTCTGATCATATGGTGGACGGTGTTTTGCTGCTCTCCTTGGTGCCTTATTTTGCACTGCTTGCAGTTTTTGCATGTAAGTTTTCTTTAAGGTGTGTAATGGTACTGGGGGATACTTTAGATGCGGCCAACTAGAGCCTTATATAGGTGTATCTGAAATGTTTGTCCACCATATGATCAGACCATCAGACCATATGAACCGTCCACCATATGATCAGACAATCCAGGAACTCCATGAACTCCTGAACATACAGCCATTAAACATCAGACTGCAGCACCAAGCCATCAGGGTGTGGAACACCATCGAAATGTTAGAGGACCCAATGTTTGAAAGATTGCTCCAAGATGAGACGCCCCGCTCTCACAGCTGGTGGCCCAAGATGAGACGCCCCGCTCCCACAGCTGGTGGCCCAAGAGCCTCGATTCTCTGGATGAAAATCCCGCCCCACAGTATATAATCCCCAGATGAGATATATATGTATATATATGAACAGTTCATATATGTGTATGTATGAACAACTCGATAAACAATAATACGTGTGTATGAACAACTCGATAAACAATAATACGTGTGTATGAACAACTCGATAAACAATAATATGTGTGTATGAACAACTCGATAAACAATAATATGTGTGTATGAACAACTCGATAAACAATAATATGTGTGTATGAACAACTCGATAAATAATAATAATAAAACAAAGAGCCTTAAACAGAACAACATGTGTGGAAGCATCGGAGTGTGTATATATGAATGCTACACAGTATTCATCTATGGACATCCATATATGGTGAAACACATATGTAGAACCTCTCACACACTCACAGCTCCCTGACAAGAGGGAGCCAGCTTAGCTTAGCTGCCAACACCCACACATCGTGTCAGCAAGGCGGACAGCCCGCCTGCTTTCATACCTCTCACTGTATTTCCCACTTCTATACTTCCCTTCACCTATGCCTCTCCTTCCTCTTTACTCCAAAAAAAAAAATGAAATGTTTGTACTGAGGCTTCGGAATCTCAGTTTTCCTAAGGCTGCTTTGGCTTTGTTTAGCCGGTCCTCTTGCGTGATTTTTTTCTTATTCTCCTGGCTCCCTTCCCTTGTTATTATCACCAGTCCCCTCCTCTCCTAATACCTTCCGCTTCCCCCATCCCTTCTGACCACCTCCCTCAGGTCCCTCCTCCTCTTCCCCCACCCCCCACACCTCCTTACCCCGGGGCCCACGAGAAATATAAGCCAGGTATCATGTGAGGTTTGACAGATTTGCAGCTATTAAGGGCAAGTCCAGGATGCTACTTATGTAAATATGTCCAGATGACGGTGTGTTTGGTTGGGGGGAGGGGAAGGGCGGGGGTAGCGCCCCCCCTGGCTACTTGTGTGCTTCTGAACTTGGGGGAGAGAGAGAGAGAGAGAGAGAGAGAGAGAGAGAGAGAGAGAGAGAGAGAGAGAGAGAGAGAGAGAGAGAGAGAGAGAGAGAGAGAGAGAGAGAAGCAGGGTGGGGTGAGAGGGAGAGATTCCACTGGTCTAGATCTAATGGAAGTGTTTATGGGTTTTGTCTGTTACCTGGTGTCTACGGGCGAGCTCCCTGCCGCTGGATCCGGCAATAACACACATGGCTAATGCATGGCATGCACTAGGCAGTGATGTGGTGGAGGCTGTGACTCCATACACAATTTCAAATGCAGATATGATAGAGCTCGCGAAGCTCAGAAATCACTAGTAAACTGAACGGTTGAGAGGCGGGGGACCAAAGAGCCGAAGCTCAACCCCCGCAAGGCACAACTACTCGAGTACACACAGGCAGAGTAATATCTGTGAAGCCCACATAGAGGTCGCGCCGCTCTGTGTGCTTTCTACGACCAAAGTGTTACGACTTTTACAAAGGAACCGTCCAACAGTTTTTGGTGGCAGCTGGTGGTCTCCTGTTGTGCCGGCACCACCACCACCCGCACCAGCTGTTAACAGTACCACCACCACCACCAGCTGTTAACAGTACCACCACCACCACCAGCTGTTAACAGGACCACCTGAGCCGGTACCACAAGAACAATTAAGTACCATCCCGAATTGTCACGTTCGGGTTAATGTACTCAGCAATATTTCCGTACAATTCCGCCTTTTAATTAATAAATTTATCTAAAAAAAACGTGAAATTTAAATTATATAATATCTTTTATTCAGACCTAGTTACAACTTGTGCCTTATGGTTATGAAGACTGCCCCCTGGCGGCGACTTTATGGTAGGGA